TGTTTTTTGTTAATATGGATTTCTCACAACTTGTGTGCTTTTTCTGGGCGAGACTGAGTGAACTGCGTCACTACTAGAGTCTCGTGAACGCACACGTCACACAGCTGTGCAGAGAAGACCAATGGCCAAGGTCATGAATTTCGTAAAATACATTAAATTTATGTTTGTTTTTCACCAAACCCTATCGTATACCCCCAGAACACTTGGAATATACGGCACATGGGATCATTCTGTGATACTTTTGCATCTTAAAAAAAAAAAAAAAAAAAAAACCTTGATGCTGGTTGCCTTTTACTGGCATTATATGGACGAGCGGGACATTTAAAAAGAATTCTCCTTTTGTGGTCCATAAAAGAAAGAACACCATTCTGCATTATAACAACACTAGAGTGAGTAAATGATGACTTAATTTTAATTTTAGGGTGAGCTATCCCTTTAAGGCCAATTCACACCGCACAGACAAATGCGGACAATCACCAGATTACAGTACGTCATTTCTCAGAAATGCCAAGACCCGGCAAGTGCCAATTCATCGTGTTCAATTGGTGAAAACAAGCTCCGACAGATACCAACATGGCAACACACTGATCAGACAAAACCTGACAAAGAGTCTGTTGGCATCTGTCAGTGCATTTAGAAATTCATTAAAACCGTTTTTAATGCATAGCTGTGGAATTGTGTAAATGTCAGATGTTTGTTGGCTACTCAGTGCCCTCTGGGTAGTAATTTTGTAAGTCTGTAGTACTGTAGGGCCTTCGAATACTGCAACTCAGCACAAGTTCAGGAACAAACCACACCCAACAATGAAATTACCTTCTGCCTCAGCTTTTGATAACCACTTTCATTTTTCATACAGTTTATGACCAGTATTGTTACTGTTAACTAAAACTATTAGAAATAGTTTTCATTTATTTAAATGAAGCTTGACAACTAACTGAAGTGAAATAAATTAAAGCTAAATAAATGTTATTAAAATGTTTTAAAATATTAATATGGTAATAGAATATCAATTATACTAAATTAACACTTTTTTTTTTACATCTGTTTTTTAAAACATTAACATTTGCATAATATATTATGTCATTACTAAAAATCAAAAACATATATTTGGTTTTTTGAAGATAAATATATTTTACTACATGTTTTAGTCTTCTGGCATTTCAATTTTCAATTTTTCAATTTTATTCTGCTTGAGAATGCTTTTTTTTAACGAATTTGTCATGTTTGAATCTCTGGCTCCAGGTCGAGGAATGGTCTCTTTTCATGCTCACCATGGCCCAGTCAAGTTCCTCACCATGGCAACAGCAGTGTGTAATGTCTCCCAAGCAACCATGGCAACTCTTACCTCCAGCACACCCAGCCAATGCCAGCCTGGGGCCCAGGAGGTGCAGGGAACCCAACTCGACGAAAACTGCTCTGGGCTGAGCTCTCCCTCACATGCTCCAGTTCTCCAGGACTCCCTGTCCTCCTCATGTGGGTCTCTGGCTCTGTCTCAGGGCTCTTTAGAGCACGGGCCAGAAGACGGGGCGATATATGACCTGCTGAACGAGCCAGCACACTTCCAGAAGGCCAAGCAGACTGAGAGAGCGAATGTGAGCTCATTGTTGGTGGTGTCTGGAGGGCTGGGACACCGCAGAATCAACAGAAAAACAAAACAGTCTAAGCATGAGGAGATGGTGTCCACCATTATGGTGTGGCAAATACCACTGCCCAACCTGTGAGGGAGAAAGATGGAGGTGTCAACGGTGAGGATCAGGGTTTAGTTTGGATGCAGCTGCACAAACACCAGTATCCATCAATCTTTTCTTTTTCACTTTTCTAATGATGCTTTTACTGTGCGTGTCTTCCTTCCAGGGCATTGCATGTCAGAGACAGCAGTTCCATAGACCGACCTTGCTTTCAGTCATGGGCTGACAGGGAAAAAAATATTCATGAATGAAGGGAAAAAGATTGTGTTCCAGGAATGAGCTGAACTACCAAGTACTTGGTCATGCATCAGAGAAATGTGTTTTACCACTTGGCACATTTGCCTAAATTAAGATACATTCGTGAAAATATGGCAGTACCACTGCAGTGTGAAAATATTCAGGTCTAACTGTTAAATGATTACATTTTGCTAAAAAAAAAAAAATCTAGCCACGCTTTAGTATAACAGCAGAAATCTGTTTCATTTGTCTCATTTTAAACACTCTTACCTGCCTCTGTTCAGCTATTAATTTAATTGTAGTTGTTTTTCTTGAAGACATTTTGTGAAAAGCATCTCAACACTAGAATGGTGCTTGTAAAAGAGGTCTTGAAACACTGGCTGCATCAGCAGCTCATCTGAGGTGTCATGGCCTTCAGATTGGCCTCTGTGATTGCCTACAACCTGTGACTGAATGACTTGTATGGGTTTCTCTGGCGGGCCAGAGATTCTTTTGGGTGCTAAAGTGAAGTTGGTGTCGACTTACTGGTTAAAAGAGAAATGGCGTTCCTCCATAATTCTAATTTAAGGTTTATGCTTAACGATATTTAAAGTAATGGAAAAGCTTTATATTGACACATTGTGATATGTATTTCTGACTTAACAAATATATACCATTGTTTTAACCAACTTTCTTTGTATATCTGTGCAAGTGTACTAGGTAACCATGTATTTTTTTTTTTTTTTTTTTTTACTGGCCTCTTTTATTTCCTTTTTCCTTTTGATGGACTATAACTGCCAACTCATACATAAGGGAATGACCCATGAAGAAAATAGAATAGAGGTTGAAAGAGGAGTTGGATGGATTTCTATGAAATGCACTTTACCAACAGCAACACTGATTTTAGAGCTTATGGTAAAATTGACCTGGACATGGAAAGAAGGAAGGAAGGAAGGAAAGAACTTATTTTAAAAAAAAAAGATGTATGGTTGTTTTTTTCCCCTTCATATTCCCAGTGCAAATGTTTCAGAGAAAATGGTCAAATATTCATTTTGCAAGGTGTCTGCTTGAAGGGAAATTAAAAAAGTAATGTTTATCCCTTGACTGTGATGGTTGATTACTTGACTATTGGATGCTTCGATATTCTTACTTGGATCTAAGCACTTGGTGAGAATTTTAATATTTATATGAAATGCAGATTTTTGCACAATGGATAAAAATGATCAAGGCAACCCCTAAAAGTAATCATTTTGCAAAATGCCAATAAATCGGTTTTTATACTTGTATTTACAGTTCTTTAACAGAAAGGAAAATTGCTGATATTTCAGTGTTTGTAAGAATCTTTGATCTGATATCTACTTTTGACATATTAATAGTGGATGAAACTTCTGATGTATGAGATACAAAGTCCTCAAAATGCTATGAAATCAATAGGCATCCTCCAAAAAAGGGTGAAATTTAGTTGTTCTGCAGGAGGCTGTCCCTGAACTTCCTCCCTCGCAGGATGCCACACTTGTGTGTGTGTGTATATGTGATGCTTTCAGCTTTTGCAGGCTCATGGATATTTGTGAGTCCCCTCAGACTGAGAACAGCTGATGTGTGTATTTAGAGGGCTAATAGTGACATCTCAGTATGACCATGTGCTGTCAGGCTGACAGACAGTCTTAACAGTCTGATGTGTTGCTCTCTCTGAGTGGTTACCATAGTAACTCTTTTGAAGAGCAGTCCAGCCCATAATATCAGGATGCGCCCATAAAACTTCAAAACATTTGAGAAGGCCAGATCAAGTCAATGCTCTAGACAATTTAAAGACTGAAATGACAAATTTTCCTATTTTGTGGCCTTTTTAAATAGAATAATGATTTTTTATGCAATAAACGTTCAATTGCTCTTCGCGCTGCTGGGAGTTCCCGTAGACCATTGCGCAACATTCTTCATTTGGCCGCGCGCGTCGGAACGTCGCGCGCTTACCGCGGATTTGATCAGCAGCTGATGTGTAGAGGGTGAACACAAACGGGGGTGTGGTTTAGATCAATAACTACCTCTCAGTTAACAGTAAAATTCAAATACTGCAAAGCACCCCGAGGTAGAGAGGTGGTATCGATCAGATCCGGAGCACAGGATGGCTTCTGTGGAATATATTTCGTTTCATCCGCATAAATAATGATATTTTGTGGACGCCGATTTTCCAGTCGAGGCTTTCAGACGCATACAGTTGGTCGAGGAGGATAAGTTCCAGCTGAACTGCCGTTTTATTACATTATGGGATGGATAGTACATTCACGTGAATGGGTAAGTGGTCTACGTTTAGAAAAACTCTAGACAATCTCAGACAAATGTCTAACGTTAGACTCCCTGCAGCGCGGTGCATTTGGATATAGTCACTGACTTGCATAGCGCTTTGTGTAAGGAATAGCTCAAAGAAATGCTGCCAATTATCACGTACTGGGGTTCTAGGGCCTTGTATATTAAATAATTTATAATGTATTCAATAATATTATTTCAAAGATTACTTTATTTGTCTGAAACTGCCTCACCTTTTTCTTGGCGTTAATAATCTCTCTATTTGCCTTTCCACATTTGTTTATCAAATCTATAAAACAGGTCATGCAACGACTATATTGACAGAATATTAACTTAAGATACTAATGGATCTCTCTGTTTCTCGACGTCTTTAAGATTTAATCCTTAAAGCTGTCAGTACGTTTGTGAATAGTGCGCGTGCGCATTTAGTGTCTTAGCGTTTTGGTGTTGATCTGCGATGAGTATTTGAACAGTATCTCATTATGTCATGCTTACGATATATGTAACTGTCATTGCAACAGACAGATAATTTGCCTTGTTAGAATAAATAAATATGAGCCTTTCCCCCCCAAAAGAAGATATGTTTAATTTTATATTTTAAAAAAATTCTAATCATTTGGATTTCAAGATAATTCCTTTGAGGAATATAAATTGTAGTTATATGTTTGTAATTATGTAAATTAATAACATTGTTTTCTTTTCTTGGAAGGTTTGGACCCAGAGCTGAGAACACAATCTTCTCTCAATATAAGAAAACTTTGTTTATTTTTCTTGTTTACCTGGGTGAAATGTAAAACATGTCTGGCTAGGACATTCCTAGCAATGCTGTCTCTGAAATATCATTACGCCAATAATTAGGATCTGCCAGTCATTCATGAGGCTCATTGGGATTAAATTAGCTCTACAGTCAGCAAGGGAGAAACTTCTGACAAATTAAGTTGTTCTTATTGCTCTGAAAGCACTAAATGAGTGACAGTGTGCCGCAACTACAGAAAGATGAACAACACTCTGCAAGACAGAAACATGTTCACAGTACAAGCAGACGTTATATTTCACGCTGCAAACCCTGACTCTCCAGAACCACCTATCCCCGCTGAAGGGAACAACAACAACAATGTCCCATCTATGGGGAAAATGGGTATCCCCAGCATGGAAATACTGCAGGATCTCCAGGGTACTTGGAATACGTCTGAATCAGGTGGTTTGACTGACAACAGGAGTTTGGGACACTACGGTGCTATAACAGGTGCCGAATACGCACAAGACGCTGTATCTAGTGACAGTGGATTTCAAGAGCACATTCAGTCTTTGGACTCAAGAAGAGCACAAAATCTAGACCTCAGTTTGAGAAATATGAGTCAAGCTTCAAGTCAAGGAATTATTAGAGAAGAAATGAATGGAACAAAGGTATCTTGCAGTTTGGCACCCTCGCTGTGCTTCAGACCAGAGAACAAGGAGGAAATTGACAAATTATCCAATGCCCTAAGAGATGGGGAGGTTGTTCGGAGTCAGTTTGACATTAAAAATGTCTCCTTCACAGAGGACAGAAATCATTCCCATTCAAGCTCCCAGGAAACGAGGTCACTTGAGAAAACCCTGGGATGCTTTATAAGTTCCTCTGAAGGAGCAGATCAGACCCGCTACAGAACATCATTTGGACAGACTGGGCTGGAATCAAGCCAAGGGCTAAAGCAGAGTGGATCTGCAGTAAGAGAAGCTCTCTCGGCAAAAGAAGAGCCGAATTTAGTCATAGAGGTGGGCGGACAGAAAATACAAGCACACAAATCAGTATTAGCTGAGAAAAGTGATTATTTTAAAGCCAGGCTTTCTAGAGACATCCTGAAGGTAAAAGGAATGAGCTACAAGACTTTATTGGTGCTTGTAGATTATGTTTACACCTCTCAGATGAACGTAAGCAAAGACGATGTTGTGGATGTCATCACAGGAGCAAAGATCCTGCAGATGCCCTGTGCGGTACAGGCTGCTATTGATACCATATCCACACAGATCACACCTGAGAACTGCTATGAAATCTTAACTATAGCCAAAAAGCAGCGACTAAATGAACTGAAAGAAACTGCCTATCGATTCATGAGCGACAACTATCTCAAGGTCCTGAGAGATCCAGCGGTCTACGGGCGCCTCACAGGCTCAGAGAGAGATCTCATCCTGCGCAAACGGATGGAGAGCCGCAAGTGCCTGATGGTGGCCGAACTTAACGATGTGTTTGAACGTGTAGGAAGTAGACCGCCCAGCAGAAACAGCAGCCGTCCCCAGAGTCCTCTCTCCATCACGTCTTTTGAGGACAATCACATGATCTACTACTACAACACGAGCAGTAAGGACTGGCACACCCTGACCGTCATGCCGGACGACATCAACACCAGGGGCTGTGGTATCTGTACCTTGTACAACTACTTGTTTGTGGCCGGCGGGATCAGGGGAACTGGGGAGAAAAGCAAAGTCTCAGACAAAGTGTTCTGCTACAATCCCATCACAGACCACTGGAGCGAAGTCCGACCCATGAACCAAGCACGATCGCAACTCAAGCTTGTCTCCATGGATGGGAACCTGTACGCCATTGGCGGTGAATGTCTTTTCACGGTGGAGAAGTATGACCCTCGAATGGACCGCTGGACGGCGGTGGCTCCTCTACCTAAAGGGGCATTTGCGGTGGCTCACGAAGCCACTACGTGTAACGGTGAGCTGTATGTATCGGGAGGCTCTCTTTTCTATCGGTTGCTGAAATATGACCCCAAGAGAGACGAATGGCAGGAGTGTCCGTACAACAACAGCAGGAAAAAATCCACAGACATGGTGGCTCTCAAGAGCTTCATCTACCGATTCGACGTTAACCGCGAACAGGGCATCAGTGTCTTTAAGTACAACACCATCGTGAAGATGTGGCATGACTGTGCCTCCCAGCAGCAGGGCTGCATGCTGCCATTTCGATGCGCTGTCATCGATAATTGCATCTACTGTGTGAATAAATCTCAGACTCTTCAGTTTGTTGTGGAAGAGGATGGAGGTCGATTCAAAGACGAGTCTCTAAAAGCACCTGTGGAGGCCAAAGGGATCTTATTCCCTTTCATTCTCAGTTTGCCTGAGAGAGGTGGAAGAATTGCATGAGTAGGATATTTCATCCCTCTGATGACCCTTCGGAGTCGCTTGAGAAAGAGAATGCCTGGTCAATATTTATAGATTAAACATCGTCTCCAGAGAAGTTCAAGGAGCCAGCACGTAGTGCTTGAAACTGGAATGTGTTTCTTTGCATGGTAAGAAAAACAAATGTATGTTTGGCGCCTTAAAATCATAGCCCCAGTCCAACTTTGGGAGACGAAGAAAGTCGTACATTTTTAGCTCATTTGTGCAGTCTTATCCTTCATTTGTTTTGTGCAATTTGTATCGGATAGTAATGTAGGATGAACTTTGCCACAGGAATTTGCAAAAAAAAAACTAAAACATCCATTTGTATAAAGGCTAGTTGATACTGCACCAACAGATGCTGACCAATGCCAACAATCACCAGACATTCCGCAACCTGACACACTCCAGTTAAACCTACTAAAAAACCGACTAAACCCAACAAATGTTTCTGTTGCTGTTGGTCGACGTCTATCGAATAGTGTGAATTAGCCTTAAGATGGCAATGAATAGCACAATTAAACAACTGAAGCACATTGTGTAATAATGCGACCCTGTTTCCTACCAACAGGTTCTATGCAAATAAAAACCTGTATATAAAATACAAAAAAAAAAAAACATTTTTGAACCACATAAAAAAAGCTCTTAATTATAGAACTTTGCTACAGCCAGGGTCAATACAGTCATTCTAAAGCAGCTGAAGGACTAGCCATAACCTTTACTAACAGAATAACATTAGGGAAACATTAAGAGCACAGAGCACTTGACTTCTGTAACTGCTGCTACTCAAATATTACTTTAAAATTCAACCCTGTGTGCATTTGCATTACAGCGTGCACAGTGGCTTTTTACTCCTGAGACTCTTCTGGGTGATATTTTAACACTTTCATTAAGGAAAGTCCAGAAGGCAAAATAAAAAAATGATTGTCTGTTCCTTGTTTCTGAATCGTTGCCAAAGATAACAGTTAAGATTTAGCAGCAGACAAACATTAAGATAAATTACATTCTCATAACAAATAATTTTCTGTATGAGATATGTATAAATCATTAATGAATTTAGAATCGTACTGCAATTAAGCCTGTTGTTAATGAAGAAGACTACAATTACAATACATTAACATCTATCCCTGAGAAACACTTGGTTGAAATCTTGAGCAGAAGGGAGAAAATATTTTCTTTATTGTGTTGTATTTTATGAATTCAGGCCCATGAGAGACAGACACTATCACAAAACAAAACATTCATACTGTGTCCATAGCATGTGATGAGGCATCATAGTGTAATTTATAACTTGGATGTTGCATTCTGTGTGGACACATTGTGATATTCAGCATCCAGGAGTATTTTACTGAGATATAATTATTCACGCTTCAGTATTTCCCTAGACATTTCTGGAGGATATGAGATGAATAATGGTTCGAGGATGTGGATTTTATAAATGTTTCTTTAGTGCAATTCTGTTGAAAAAATCTTAAGGGAATTTGAATTATGAGCATGAATGTTGGTATGATTATGAACTTGAATGTGAATGTTTTACTCACTTTTTTTTTTTTTTACTCAACCCTATGTGCTTTAATCACTTTTAACAAAGCTGAACAAATACAGACAACATAATTCCAGTAAACATCTCAAAGTCACTGTCAAATTACCCATAAATGCTCTCCAACTGTTCGCTTATGAAGTATTTAAATCGGGGTTCTCAACTCTGACCCTCGAAGTCCACTTTCCTGCAGAGTTTTGTTCCTACTTCCTAACCTAATCAAGCTATTCAGGATTACTAAAAAGTAATAGGCAGGAGGGTTTGATTAAGGTTGGCGTTAAACTCTGCAGGAAAGTGGACCTTGAGGGCCAGAGTTGAGAACCCGTGATCTAGTTTTTTTTTAATATTGTGTAACTGGAAAACTCTTCAGATATTCTGCTGAAATCAAGATGCTTTTGGCAAGGCAACCAAAGTGTCACATGGGGGTGTGTGGGTGGGGCATTGCTTGCTGAGTTGCTGATGTGTTTAAAGCTAATATGCTTTTAAAACAAATGGCTTGATGGCTTTTTAGTGTATCTATGTCATTTTAATATCTCACAAACTAAAGTTTCTGTGTTGCAATAAAATATCTTTTGGTTTCCTGGTTCATTATTTTAGCTGTGTTCATTTTTCACCAAGTTTTGAAAAATATATAAATGCAGCACTGGGATCTGAGGAAGCAGAACATGTTCAATTCAGCTGTTACACTTTGTGGGAAGCGTTGACCTGAGGTTAAGTGCCTGATTCAAGGGCGCCATGCTGATAAATGGACAGAAGAGTCATTCCTTATTAGGACTGACCCCACAATCCTAGTGTTAATAGCTCCTCAACCATTATTCACCATGCTAATAATAATTAAAATTAAACATTCTTTGTAGAGAGATCTGATCATACGGTTGACTGCTCTACTATTGTTGGGTGTGTCATTACTGCAGTGGTTTTCCTGGAGCACTGATGCCATCTAGAGGATGGAGTCAGTAATATACATAATACATTTAGGAAATTAAACATCTGCTATATTGCTAATCCAATGACACTAAAACCATCAGAACCAGATCCTCTGAATTTAAATCCAACAAATATATGTCTTGAAGACCTAAATATTTATAAAATATAACTTTATAGTATTATTGTCACATTTAACAGACGTGAAAAAATACCACAAAAAAAAGCCCAATTTCCAAATCATTTTAAATACTACTATAAATAATATTACAGATAAAAAGATTTTATCTCGATTTCGTCACTTTAAGACACATTGGCCTATTGCAGTGTAATTTAGTTATCATTCAACTCTGCATGACCAATAAAACCTTCTGTAACTAGGTAGGCCTATTGTTATGTTACTTATAACGATTTAATTTCCTTTCTCATTCTAATGATATGAAATAACCAAAATGCGATAAGTGATTTAGCCTAATTCATTCCTCTACCTGAAGACCCTGACCCTCCTGCTGTGGACAATCATCCAATTCATTTTTCGAAATGTTGTGGGGTCGTTATCGCTTTCGCCTAAAGACCTTAATTTTCCTAAACAATTTCAGGGACATTATTGCGAGTTACAGGATAATGTTTTTCCTTCTGTGCATTATAATGAAGGCTTTGAGAAACTGCACAGCTTTTCCAGTTTTTGAAATTACGCTCCTTCCTATCAGAGTAGGTATGGGGCGGGGTAACACGTGTAGCCCCGCCCAGGTACAGCCCCACCACGATCTTCAAGCTCCAGCCAGGGTATTCTTGTGTTAAGCGCTATGGTTAAGCGTCATCGCATGCTGGCGATTGGGGTTCGAGACTGGCTCAGAGCAGGGCGGTAAAAATTGGAGGCGGAGCAATTAAGAGGGGTGTGTTTGTTTGTTTTAACCCTTAAACAGGCAAGAGTGGAAAATGCTAAGCAAAAAATATTTTCATGTCATTTTTTATATCATCTGGAGGACTTAAAACATATCCAAAAGATTTTTTTTTAAATGTGATATATTTTGGATTTTATGAGTTGTGACTCCTGACGAGTCACGTTGCCTGATTAGGGTATAAAAAGGACCAAGTCATTAATCTGTTAACTGTTACTGCCACTGCATGTTTAAAACAATTATATCCCATACTTCACCTGATCTAATGTTGACAAATGATATAATCATTCGAAAGCTTACGAACTGAAGATTCAGCATGTGAAACCGTGAAAATGGACGTTGCGTTACCATAGAAACGGTACTCTAAATTCTTTTATCGGGCTCCTCCCCTTTTGGGCATCATTATGTTTCATAATTTATGATCAAAAAAACCTTTTCTAATCTTGACAAAACACATATTGTCAGAAAGGTCTGAGTCTCAAGGTTCCATATTTTTTGACAGAAGTGATATTTGGACAGAAATGTATTAATTTGTTATGGCAGAATGCATACAATTAAATTCTTTTTTGGTATTATGCCTAAACAAAATCAATTTCAGTTCAATTCAATTTTTGTGATATCAACTTCAAATTTGGAACACAACTTGGTTAGATATATGGCTTTGATTTTATAGTAAAAAATATTTTATAAAAAGGAAAAAATATTAATTACCGTATATTTTATTTACTGTAAGTTTAAACTTCCATAACTTTTTCATACTTTCATTTTTTGAAGTGCTGTCACTTCAGCAATAATCTGAATTACAATCATTCTTGAATTACAATCATTTAAGTTTGAATAGTGCATTTTAAATAGAGCTAGTTTATCCCTTTTGTATACCCTAAACAGGCAACGTGACTCAGGACTCACATACATTTCAAAACGTGCTAAATAACAACATAAACAACATATTACTTAATTTTCTCCTTCAGCACCTTAAGACAATGTTCACAATTATTGTTAGCAGTATTCTTTTTTTTTTTTTTTTTTTTGAAGAAAAGTAAGTTTAATATATATTTACTTATCTCAAAATCTGAATGTTCTGCACCACTGGCAGCCATGTTGGATTTAGGTCAGGCTGACTAATTGATCACAAAAAATTTGAAGCAAATCATGTGACCAAGCCTGTATATATTTTTTTATAAATGATGCCACTTCCGCATCATTTTTTACTGTTTGTATTGTTATTTATTTAGATATATCTGTACGGTGTTGTCTCTATGGACCTTTGTGTCTTGAATAAAAGTTGATTGACCAGCATACTCAAGACAGACCAGGCTGTCATAAGTGATAAAAGGATTTGATGAAAAAATCGTTCTTATGCCCCAAAAAAGACAAAAACGATGTGTCTCGTGAGTCACGTTGCCTGTTTTAGGGTTAAATATCACTTACCCCACCTTTAAATACAGGCCAATAATTAGCAGGAGAAAAATCACAAGGATATGTATAAAAGTTTTATTTAGATATTTACAAAGTACTACAAAAAAAAATAACAGCTTTTCTTTACTCTCTCTCTCACTCCCAAACACACAGACAGACACACACATTATGTTGATCTCACACATACTCTCCACAATTAGAGATGATGACTTTCTGTTTGGTTTTGCCATCTTTTGATCCCTGAGCCTGAGAAAACAGTACAGATACAAAGTAATTAAAAAAAACAGGACAAAAAGTAATTTTAATATTTTAAACAAAGCATTTTAAATTCTGGTCAACAGGCATAATAAATAACTAATTCAAAACAGTTGTACACTGCGGGGGTCAGTACGTTTTTATTCAGCAAGGATACATTAAATTGATCAAAAGTGACAGTAAAGAATTTATAATGTTACAAAAGATTATTTCAAATGAATGCTGTTCTATTGAACTTTCTATTCGTCAAAAAAAATCCTAAAAAATGCATCAGTTTTTGATAACATTGATAAGAAATGTTTCTTAAGCACTAAACCAGCATATTAGAATGATTTCTGAAGGATCAAAAATGTTTTTCAGCTTTGCCATCACAGGAATAAATTACATTTTGTAATAGAAAAGTTATTGTAAATTGTAATATTTCACAATATTAAAGCTTTTACTATATTTTTCATTTAAAAAAAATAAAGCCTTGGAGAGCACAAGAAACGTCTTTCAAAAACATTTAATCTTACTGACTACCAACTTTTTTTTTTTAATAGTCAAATCATAAGCGATTGCAAATCTAATCTCCCTCAGCTTACCTCCATGTTCCGGAGTACATCCATGCCCTCTACGAGTTCTCCGAATACCACATG